AATTTTTGTATAGTTTCTTTCATCACACCTACGGCTCATTGAGATTCATATCGATGCCATTGCTTGGAAAAGGTTTTACAAATATTTACCACGTTTTAAACATGTAAATGTTTTTAAAATGAAGTAATCAATTTCATTAAAAAAAAAGAATATACCTTTAAGGCATATTTTATATCGGAAATTTCAAGGATGGAAATGAAACCAAGTATTTACCAAAGACAATTTGAAAAAAAAAATGTATGAAAAGAAGACATTAACATTTCGTTTAAAATATGAGTTACGATAACAACACCTCATTCTCTCTTAATTTTCTCATTTTGATATTGTCAATATAATTTTACACACGGACTAAAATATGACGCTTGAATTTGATTGTAGTGGACTTTACATTTGTGGACTTAACTTAGTGGACGTTTAAGTAATGGACTTAACAGTAGTGTGGGTTTTAGAACTGTGGACGTAAAAATTGTGGACGAAAAGTCTGTAGACGTAAAAAAAGTGGACATAAAGTCTGTGTACCGAATCGACACCTCAGTTGGCCAATAGGGTTGTTTTCTTAATATCACCCCCCGGGGGTGATTTTGGCAGCCATCTTTGATAGGGGGTGACTTTTTAAAAAATGAGAAAGCCAATATCGGAATTCTGTTTCTAGACATCAAGACAAAGAGAGTAAGACATTTTCCACACTTGAATCACTAATAGTGCCACGGAATAAGACTAGCCTAACTCGAGGAAATTAAAAGAAAAAAGTATAACCTCGCGTCAGAAAATTGCCCTGATCACAAATAATATACAGTATTTGGAAAAATTTGAGAGTCAATTTTCGATATTTGTCCATGGGATTTCGCACTGTGTGGCGGTCTGCCGGCATCTGGAGGCCGGACCGGGTACGTAATGAAAGAACTCGCCAGGTAATCTCCCGTGCTAAGGAAAAACGCCGTATGAACCTTCAGGCGTTGCCAAATTTTCTTCGATAAAACATGAATTCCCTGGTAAACTTAGGAATATTTTTCTTCCAATTTTCAAAGAATATAGTTTTTATTTCGATCTTAAGTTCCTGAAAATTTCATGGAAAAATACTCATAATTTACCTCATAAATAAACGTTTTATCAAATGAAATTTGGCAACTCTCGAATGTTCGTACGGCGTTTTTCCTTCACGGCAGTGATGAAGGTTAGAGTAATATCTTGCACGACGTTGCACGTCAGGCAGTTATTGTGGTATGGACATGTGCAAAGAAGGTTACCCAAAAAAAGTTTGGATTGGGTGCCCTCAGGGAAGTTGCCGAGTTGGCTCCCGTCCATTTTTAGGTGGGTCGAGTTGGCTCCCGTTTGAAAAAGGGGGTCCCCTCCCCTAAGGGTCGAGTTGGCTCCCGTTAGAAAAAGGGTCCCCTCCCCAATGGAGAAAAAACTTGGAATTTTTTCGATGGAAAAAAGTATAAAATTAAAAAAAAAAAAACTTTCCCTTCACACTTAATCCAGGCTTAGGACTGGCCAAAAAGTGTAGCGTACTCAAAGGGCGTGTTTAAAAAGTTTTTTTTTTTTAATTTTATTTTGTTTGTTTATATCGTCTCTCTCCGGACAATGGGTATTAAAATGTAGGGAATGGAAATGATTAAAAACAGGTTATTAATTTTCACCTGCTACGGCCAATTAGCAGGACTTGTCATTGGAACATGGCCATGGAGTAGGATACTTATAATCGGGAAGGCAGGAATTTAAAAGAGACTCGTTTTGATAGGAGAATAGCATCGTAGTTCCCGGCATCGAGTCTGTTATCTTCCCCCTCAATGAAGTGAAGAACGCGCACCTCTCGTTAAGCGTAAATAAACGCACGCTTTACTCGAATTTGTGAAACGAGTCTCTTTTAAATTCCTGCCTTCCCGATTATAAGTATCCTACTCCATGGCCATGTTCCAATGACAAGTCCTGCTAATTGGCCGTAGCAGGTGAAAATTAATAACCTGTTTTTAATCATTTCCATTCCCTACATTTTAATACCCATTGTCCGGAGAGAGACGATATAAACAAACAAAATAAAATTAAAAAAAAAAACTTTTTAAACACGCCCTTTGAGTACGCTACACTCTTTGGCCAGTCCTAAGCCTGGATTAAGTGTGAAGGGAAAGTTTTTTTTTTTTTTAATTTTATACTTTTTTCCATCGAAAAAATTCCAAGTTTTTTCTCCATTGAAAATAATCAGTTGCTTTTCAAAGTGACAACGTCCAGTGCCGAATACCTAATCATTGTTTGGGCGTGAGTGTTACTGCTGATAACTGATTTCTCCTCAGCACTCTTAATTTCTCAGACTTATCTCATGCATTTCGCACCTAGTGTCCGCCGCTTTACGCGCGGCGCGTCGCACACGCCACTCATTTCAAACGGGAGCCACCTCGACCCTCAGGGGAGGGGACCCTTTTTCTAACGGGAGCCAACTCGACCCTTAGGGGAGGGGACCCTTTTTCAAACGGGAGCCGATTCGGACGTTTGGGAGCCAACTCGGGTACGTCCGCCCTCAGCAGGTTGATTGTTGAAATTGGTAGACAAAGCTATCGACAAAGGAGACGAGAAAGATATGGAGGGATCCTATTGGTGGAAGCGGGTGGTTGCAATGGACAAAGGAGGTGGGCAATAAACTAACTAACGGCAAATAATGAGAGACCATATAGTTAGTCCATCATTTCCTCCCTTAGTCCACTGGAACCACCCATTTCAACTAATAGGATCGCTCCGTATCTCCTATGTTTTCTTTGTCTATCGCTTTTTCCGTCAATTTTAACCATCAAACCGCTGGAAGAGGACGTAAGCGTTTCATGAGGGGATGAGGAAGAGATATGACGTTGTCAGTTGCAAAATAACTTTTTGAAATGAAAGACACATGTGGCGCTGGGGTGTTGCAAAGAACTAGAGTCAGCTGTAGGAGTGACGTAAACGCATGTTTCTTACATCTACATCGGTTATATTTGTTTTTGTTTGATTTTGTTATGTTTTATTTCATGTGCGCCCTAACAATAGGTGCAATAAGCGTGGAAAGCTTCGGCAATATGGGTCTGTTGTAATATTTTGCTGGTGGGTTATGAAAAGTTGCTTCCTACAGAGAGTCCCAGTAAGAACATCGGAAAAGTCTATGAAATACACTCCCAATATCACAATTTGCATTATGCATTTGCGCGTTTTTGAGCATTCCGCCTCAAAAAGTATGCTTCGACGAGGACTCACTTCGGTTTTACAACTCCTGTGGATGGCATTCCTCATGTGCCTTAATTTTTTAATTAAAAACAAGCAAAATTTCAAACCTCATATATTTGGACCACATCTTGCAATCAGAAACTAATATTTCTCACTCATCCATGAAGCATATATTTGAATTTGGAAACTACGGGCATATACGTTGTTTCTAAGATGAACCAGAGATAGAAGTTCCACTGCAGAGTGAAATCCACCTATTCGATCTCCTCACTCCTCATTTTCAAGTTAAGGTTTGCTGTTTGTTTTTAGTTTAGGACCTGCGTCACGTGACGGCGGCGGCCATTTTAAGTTTCACGTGGAGTTGTGAAACTGGGAAGACTAATCTGCATTGAATGATACATACATACATACATACATACAAGTCGCTTTACAGCACTCCCTCGCGCTCTACGACTCCTAACCTCCACTGCTCTCTTTCAAACCACAAATCTTGGGGGATTGAGCACCTTAACATTTCTGCTTCAATCCCTTCGCTCCAACCTTTCATTGGGCGCCCTCTGCATCTTCTCCCAGGAGGAACCCAGTCAAGGACCTTCTTCGGCAACCTGTCTCCTGCCATTCTCTGGACATGACCATACCAGATGAGTTGTTTTGTCATAATGTCATGCACGATGGTCTGCTTGGCATCCATGACATCCCGTACCGTCTCATTCCTGACGCGATCCTTTCTGGAAATACCAGCGGATCTACGCCAGAAGTCCATCTCTGTTGCCTCTAAAACCTCCCGGGTCCGCTGTTTCATCGGCCATACTTCACACCCGTAGGTTACTATGCTCTTGACAATCGCGTTGTAAATCCTCCTTTTGTTCTCTTTGGAGATCCTTTGGTCCCAAAGGACTCCATTTAACATAGCGATTGCCCTCCTACCCAGCATATTCCTCTTCTTGATGGCCTGGTCCAATCTTCCATCCTGGGTTAAAAATACTCCTAAATATTTGTAAATATCGCAGCTTCCAATTTGCCGCCCATCCTCTAATTCTATACTTTGCTGATTCCCGCCAACGGTCAACTTCTCGGTTTTGCTGACATTCACCTCGAGGCCCCATTTCCGATACTCAGCCACCAACTTCCGAGTCATGTACTCAGCATCATCTTGATCTTGGGCGATAAGTACTTGGTCATCAGCAAAGCATAACGTGTAAAGAGTTTCTTCATTATTTAGAGGGACACCCATTCCGGAACATTTTTTCTTCCATTTACGCAGTACATGTTCTAAGTATATTTTAAACAAGGTGGGGGAGAGGCAACACCCTTGCTTTAACCCCTTTGTTACATAAAAACCCCCCGACAAGCCTGTCAATGCGGGCGTCGCGCTAAGCGATCATTCGGGAGAGCGACGTGCAAAATAAGGAAACTGGGCGTTCAAAAAAAGCACAACTGGAGATGCGAGAAACGAAGGTGATATATTCTGAATATAGAAAATACAAATGTGGCCGATGGAAATGGATAAAAAGACTAGATGCCGTGACAGCATCCTTTCGAGATAAAACGTTTCAAAAAGATGGCCTAAAAGGTGAGAAGAACCCCACAATACTCGCGGCGTCATCCGGCTCATCGCCTCCCCCAATCACCGTTCAGCTTAGGTGTGACGTCATTGACCAATGGCTGGGCGTGAGACGGGACAGGCGGAGAGTCGTTGACAAAGCCCCCTTTACATTTAATTCTTGCGGAAGTCCCTTGATAAGAAAGCTTAATTGCATTAATTAGTCCACGAGTAAAATCAGATTTTTCCAAGGCCTCCCACAGTTTCACTAAAGGCACGCTATCATAGGCTTATTTTGCAAATCCACGAACACCAAGTGCAATTCTTGACCAACCGCCATCTTCTTCTCAATAACCTGGGTGATGCAAAATAGATGGTCGACGGTTGATCTGCCAGCCCTGAAACCCGCTTGCTCTTCTGCCTCATGATGAATCCATTCTTCTTCGATTTTAGCTTTCAATATCTTACCATAAATTTTGCTGATCGTCCCGGTCACCGACAATCCACGATAATTATCAAGATCGTCCTTTTTCCCCTTTTTGTGGGTAGCTGTAATCCAACATTCTTTCCACTCCTTCGGGACTTCATCACCCTTCGCACATTTATCCATTAAGTCCCTTAAGCAATGGAACAGCCTGTTGGACCCACATTTAATTAATTCTGAGGGAATATCTCCGGGTCCATAAGCTTTCACATTCTTCAACTCCCTGACGGCTTTAACCACATCAAAGAGCTGGACTGATACAGTGGATGCCTCATCGGTGTTTATCTGCGTGCCTCCCTGAAACTCTGGTCGCCTTTCGGTCAATAATTGTTTAAAATGTTCCTCCAACTGGCGGATCGATATCGGAGATAAAATATCACGCTTCATATCCCTTCGTAGGCTTTTTAATAATTTCCAACTTTCTGCACTCTTTCTGCCCCCGAGGTAGGTGTTAATTTTGGAGCAATTCTGCTCCCAAGTCTCGTTTTTCTTCCTTGTGATTAGACTCCTCACCCGAGCCTGAGCCTGCTTGTAAACAACCTTGTCTTCATCCCTCTTAGAGGACAGAAAAGAATGGTACTTGTTTCGCTTATCTTGGATCTCTCGTTCCACTTCCGCGTCCCACCAGTATGGCTTACGCCTCGAGTTATCTTCTTCACAAACTCCTAAGGCCTCACTGGCCGCAGAGTGAATACAATCCTTAATGAATTGATAATGCTCCTCAGTGCTGCTAAAAGACCTCTCCACCAACTTTTCATCCAGCCTTTGCCTATACAGACGTTTAACGCTATCATGGTGGAGACTATCTATATTATACTTCTTCCGATGAAGGACAACCCTCTCTTGCTGCTGATCTTGTTGTACAGGCTCGACTCGCTGGCCGTCCTTCACCGGGAAAGCTATTCTTGCTTCGAGAAAATAGTGGTCGCTGCCACATGAGAGACCTCTGCACACTCTCACATGCTGAACCTTCATCTTGGATTTTTGCCTCACAATCACGTAGTCAATAATGGACCTCAAACCTCGAGTTGGCTGCACCCAGGTGTATTTGTGAATGTCGCGACGCTGGTAGAATCCGTTTAAAATTTTTAGATAATTTTGATCACAGCTATCGATGATTCGGATACCGCTATCATTCACAGCTTCCTCTCCATATGGTCCAACCACCTTGCAACCCCTCCTACTACCTGTTCTTCCTTTAAGGTCTCCCATGATTAGCACTTCCCTCGTAGTTCCAATTTGCTCGATTTCATCATTTAGTTGTTCAAAGAATTGGTCTTTTAGCCCCACAGGAGCATCGTCATTCACCCCGTACACTCCAAGTAGTGCAATTCTGTGCCCGTACACCGTGAGATTCATCTTGATTATGCGCGGACTCACTGCTTCCCTGTTGTTAATGTACTTCCGCAAGGTTTTCCGTATGAGAATTGCAACACCCTGCTGAGCCCGTTGTTCCTTACTTACTCCACTGAAAAACATGTCGTAATCTCCTAAACTTTCAGATCCGTGGCCTTTTTTCTTGGTTTCTGTTAGTACTGATACGTCCACCCCGTGATTCTTTATCTCCGACACAACCTCCGTCAATTTCGTCGATATCCCTTGGACATTCCAAGTTCCAAAATTCAGTGTCCTTTTCCTTAGTTTGAGTCGAAGAGTCCGTTTTTTTTCCATGGTTACCGAGGCGGTTTGGTTAGGTTTTTTGACATTGTGTATTTTTTTCGAGGATCGGGGAGTCAGCCCAATGCCCCAACCCCCAACCTGGAGGGCCAGAGTTTGATTTCCTCTCCTAGACAGGTTGCTTTCACCACAGCTAAGAGCCCTGTCCACCCACCCCCTTTGAGGCAGGGGCTACCAGCTGGGGTCCGCAGGATTGCTAAACCTGTGACAGTACTGTCCCCCATACGGACACATGATTGAATGATACAAGGTGATCCAAAAGTCCCACACTACCCCTACCCACCCCTAGGTTTCTTGCCCTATTCCAAGGTGGACCTTTCAACATTTTTGAAGGTTTCAAAAATCGTGCTAACGAGCACTGGGAACACAACAAATTTCAAATCTCTATCTCAATTTCCAAAAAAGTTACAGGGTAAACGCCTGATACTAGTGGTACGGTATTTTTGGATCGCCCTTTATCGTTGCTGCGGTATATTTTTTAAACAGAGAAGCTAAAAAATGCATAGATTTCTCACGCCCCTGGTAAAAATTGGCGATAAGAGCTGCGTTTCAAAATACCATAGAAATTCTTATAGCCGGCTAAAGAAGGCTACAGAAAATCATATAGCTGGCTGTAGAATGCGGAGAAAATCATACGGCCGGGCTGTACGAAGCGATAAAAAATTATGCAGTCGGGCTATAGTTCCTATAGCCGGGCTTTACACTTTATCGCCTGGCTGTTGCTTTTTCGCCATCGATTATAAAAGGCTATAAGAACTTGTGTAGAAATTCGTGTGCTTTGGAAATCATTAACTTTGATACGGAACCACATTAATATTTACAAAACACACGTTATATTTTCCTTTAATACATATTTTTTTTCATCAATTAAAACGAGAATAATCCATACAGGATGTGCAAACATTTCAAAATCGTGAGTGAATAACGCTGACTCCGCCAGATTAAATATTAGAGCCTAACACAAAGCGAAGCGGCGACGCACTGCCGCCTACAAACCTAACAGGGATACTGCACGCATTGCGCAACGCGTGAAGTATCCTTGTTAGGTTTATAGGCGCCAATGCACGTTTCGTGCTGGCTGCCCGCCTGCCGCAGTGCCGCACCGCAGCGTGCCACGGCGCTTGAAGCAACTATTTCACACCAGAGGTATTGCACAGTATCATACGAAATTGAAGGCGCTCTAATATATTAGGAATGGCAGGCATCCATCAAAAGTACGGAGCTTTCCTCGCAAAATAAATCAAGATACTACGGCCCAAAAAGAGAGCAGTGGTCCAAAAACTCACTAAGTCCTAGCATCCGTAATTAATGACGTTTAGCATACACTTTATCGCCTGGCTGTGAGTTGCTTAATCGCCATCGGCTATAAAAGGCTATAAGAAATTGTGTAGCCGGCTATAGAAGCTGTTGGCAATCTTACAGCCGGCCGTAGGTCTATGGTATTTTGGAACACAGATTCAACTGCCAATTTTTACCAGGGGCAGATTACCTATGAAGTTAGCTGAGAGTTTATGTTACACCTCCCCGATACACTCTTCAGCGTGTTAAATGATACGCAGTAGGAAAAAACTGTATTCTTTACGCTTTAATCTAACTCTTGGATCACGCTGAAGCTTTGCTGTGGTTTCTTTTTTTTTTTTAAATGAGAAGCTGAAAAATGTACGCTTAGGATTATTCCTCAAACTCTACCAGTTTTTTACGAGAGACACATTATGGTATGTTCCGATAGCACCGTAGATTCTATAATACTAAAACCTTGTTGAAAAAAACTCTTTTTCTGCAGAACCCGGTTTGAAAGCCATTCCATTTACTGCTCATATATTGGGTTCAGAGGCCGCGAGCAAAGAACTGAGATCCACGAGCTACAGTGGAACAAAGGATATATCTTGCACCAGCTTGGTCATATCTTAAATCTACATGAGGAGGCTTTGCGCCCGGACAGAGACCAATTCATTTCGATCAATTATGAAAATATAATAGAAGATGTAAGTCGCTATAACGTGAAGATTCAAATTAATATTTGAGGGGCTTTGAGGACACGGCGCATAAGTACAATTTTTGCTATTTCGAGAAATAAGTTATTGAAGTTTCGAAATTACATAGACCCTTAAGGCGGAAAGGAAGTTCAAACTGACTTTTTGATGCTTGAAAATTTGAATTTGGGAGTGAATTTTTCTCAGAATATGAATTGAGACTAGTTTTACTGGAAATCATTTGTACGGCAATTTTTTCAAAAACTGCACTTATGCGCCACACTGCTTATTATTCTACCTCTCCTGCTCTATTGCTAATGATTAATATATATATTATTCTACCTCTCCTTCTCTATTGCTAACAGTTATTAAATATCTTCTCTTCATCTATTGAGCCTTCTTCGCCTTTCATCTTCTTTTATCTTCTTCGCCTTGTCCTTCAAGCCCTTCATTTTACCTCGCTAAAAGTCGTATTCATGATCGTTTTTTAAACAACTCCTTCACATTGGAAACATTGTACATAATAACTTAAGTTTACAATTTTTCTGGATTTCCAGTAAAATTTAGCTGTAATATAAAATGATTTGACGTCACAAGTATAATACAAAATATGAAATAAAATTTATTGCGGGTTCTTAGATCATTGTAAGGTAGGTCCGTACAGAACTTAAAAACTGACAAAGTAATACCATTTCCTTGCTCGTAGTTTGAACTTTTTTCAGTCAGCAATCAATGTAATTTTCAGAGGATCCATTTCCAAAGTTATACTGTTAAATTGCTTGAATAAATTTGTATAAAATTGTCCGTTTTACGATGTTTTGGAACAGGCTTCTTTCTAAATCACAACAATGTAAACCATTTATTAATTGACCACTCTATGGAAAGGCAGAGCTATTCGAAGAACAACTATGTATTGGATACGGCCCTAGGGCAAGTGATTGTACTCGCATGGTAAAAAATAACTTCATCTATGTCTACGGGTGTTATTCGAGTGTTTTCAAAAGGACTGCCAAAGCTAAAGAAAACGTAATCATCTTGTTTTGGCGTTAATGTTAGTTATTTTAATTTCGCAAATCAAGTTCTAAGTGAAATTTTGAAGAGGGTACATATGTTAGAATTGGTCAGTTTCGCTAGTCACAAAATCGTGTTTTAGTGCTTGTTTCTTGTAGATTAGCGGAAAATAATAAGATCTGTCCAAATCGCAACTTTCTACGTTCAATATGAACCGAGATATCGCCCTTTGAAAAGTCACGTTTTTGACGTCATCCACCGCGGCAATGACACCCTTGGTTTCTTCCTCTTTTGTTCGATCAGTGATGCAGAGGATGCAACGCAAAACTTCAACGACGTGAAACGCAAACAAATTGAGGTGAACTGACTGATCGCCTAATCTCTTCGCGGCGAGTGCGTTATCTCATGAAATGAAGATCTTTATAATGTTCGAATTCGTCTGTCTCTTGTGTTTGATTACGCTTAACGTATCGTTGAAGTTTCGCGTTGCACCCTCTGTTTCACTGATCGAACAAAAGAGGAAGAAACCAAGGGGGCAAGGGGCAAGGGTGTCACTGCCACAGTGGATGACGTCAAAACCTGACTTTTGAAAGGGCGATATCTCGGTTAATATTGACCGTAGAGAGTTGCAGTTCGGACGGATTTTGCGCTGATCTACAAGAATTCAGCATCAAACACGATTTTGTGATCAGCGTAACTGACCCATTAAGGAAACAGGTCTCAGAGCATTTAAGTATCATGTGCCCTTCTTGGTGGGCCAAGTATATCATTCGAATTCATTTCTAGCATCAATATGATCGTGATCAAAAGTTGTTTACTTTATCGTCTTATTATGTTTTTTCAGGAAAGTTTAAAGAGAAAATTTGATAAGATGGCAAGGGAAGAATTCAAATTTTTGGGACAGCCTTTTGATCCAAACTCTATAATGATGTGGCCTTACAATGCGTTTAGAAAGGTAAGCTTATGCGTATTATTTTCGTTTTTATATTTTATTATTTATTTAGATGTCTTTTGTATATAAATGAGTAGGCCCGCAAATTGAATCCTACCTGTATCTCCGTGGCGGTTTTTCGTAACGGGTATAGAGAGAGTGCGGACATGTAGGTAATTTTGAGAATTGCTGATGGAGCTCTCGGGGCCCAAAAAGGGGGCCCATATGAATCCAAATTATCCAGAGTGATTTATTACTACAATTTTCACGATCCGTCGTTGGTAAAGCACGAATTTGACTTAGTTTTTGCATAAATTTACTCATTTTTGCAGAGGAGCGCTCATGTGTAATCATTCTTGGCCATTTTGGTTTGATATCGGAAGGTTGGCATTGACATTTTCCGTTTTTAAAGATAAGTTGTTCTTTTAAGCCTTAAGATCTCCATATTCCGACGTATCCGTATTATGTACTTTCCCTATGGCTATATAGGTGCTCTAGTAACGGGTTGGGGGTTGGTACCTGGCCTTCACCGATGTCTCCACAAATGAAGTTAGGGCCTAAAAGAGCAGCCAACCTATAATGCCAAATTACTCGTTGTTACACGGTGTCAATAAAGAAAATGAAAACGTACAACCAGGGCCTGCTTCATGGACCAGGGGGACCATAGTGCCTTCAATTTTTTCAGATGCAACACGCGTGTCCTCAGAGTATGGATAGTTGTATCAAGGTGTTAACATGAGCACATTGAGATTTTTACACGGGCTGCCCCGTCCCTTTTGACACTACCTAAGCGTCGTTTAAATCATTAAAATTGTAAATATGTGCCCGTTAAAGATTGATAATAATATTTTGAAATTTTTCGATAAAAAATAAGTTTAATCGATCTTTTTTTTTTATTTCATGCCGCACACCTCCCTCAGTTGATGTTACTAGCGGGGGTTAATCACCGCGATTCCCAGGGAAGGCGAATCCAGCAATTTGGTCACACCGGATTTGCTCCATTTAAACCTATGTTAATCAATCGATTCTTATCAGAGCACCTGGCCCAACCTGGCCCCTCCAAGAATCGATAAATTTTCATAGGTTTAAACGGGAAAAAACAATGTTGCCGATTTGCTGGGCACGCCAATGATTCCCGAGTCCGCAGTGTTGCGCTACCCAACTGAAGTGCTATTCACCGGATGGGGGGGGGGGCACAAAGGGGGGTTTATAGAGAGAAAAGCCCCAACCTAACCACTAAACCAAACGAAAAAAATTGCAACGTGTGAATATTTTAGGCTTGCGGTGAAAATTTTCGAAACTACTGAATCCAGGCGTTTCTCGGCCTCTTGAACGCATCCCCAAAAGTTTCAAAGAACTTTGTCAACTTTTAAAAAATTTCATAAAATTTCACGCGAATAAAATTTTTCACCTCTGGTTGCAGCTGTGCTTTACGTCGCAGTTGTAGAAATTCCCTCGGTTTCGATACGTGGACTACATTTTGCATAAAAGGAACAATTTTTTCCGGCTCATTCACAAAGAATCGCCTATCTGCATGGGGTAATCAATAAGGTTTATGTTGTATGAGCTGGGAATCATGACTCCTTACTGCAAAATGCAGCCCAACCACTGGGGGTTTGTTCCTAAGTGTGAGAAAGAATCGAATAATCGTAAACATGATTCAAAATTTGGACAACATCCTATCAGAAATTTGAAGTGGACTCTATTTGAGTGTGCTGAAAGTAAATGAAAGATTATTAGAGTTATGAAGTTTTACGTCGTGTCTCCAATATTACTGGAAAAATTGGAGAATCGTATTGAATCTTACGACGGAAATGTACTCTAAATTTCACAGTGATAGCAGAGTGCCCAACTAAAGAATGAACAGCTCAGAGGACCTACCGTACACCACGCATACCCAACGTACTTGATGACGACATATATAATTGCAATATGGCTAAAGTCAAAATATGCCTAGATCTTAATTGCAACGTCACAGAATCTTCATATTTGTTTTATTTTTACTTGTAGAGAAAACTAATCAAAGCATATCCCAGGAATTCCTTTCAAATATATATATATATATATATATATATATATACTGTAAAAACACATTGGATCTAGAGTCCAGACTCTTGAAAACATTGACAAGAAAAAATACTCTGGATTCAATCAGATTTTTGCTTAAATCAAAAGGAAATCCGCTCAAATTAAGAGGCTTGGTTCTTGATTTAAGTAAAAATCCGATTGATTTAGAGTATTTTTTCTTGTCGATATTTTTAAGAGTCTGGACTCTAGATCCAATGTGTTTTTTTTTTCCAGTGTAAGCTCTGAGACCTCCTGAATTTGCGTACCTACCTGGTAACGCTTAGTTCCAGCATCCTACCGGGCCGATTTTCATAATTTTTGCGGCTGTCAACGAGAAATTGTCTCTAGATGAGCCCGCTTTATTGAGATTTTGAAAATATGGCCCAGGTTTTTTTATATTACGTGGTAAAGTTACGAATTCTCCCACTTAAACAATGTAATTTTTTATTTTTTGGCACAGTTCGTTTGGGCGTTCTACTGGGCCGATTTCCATGATTTTTGCGACTTTCGATAGGTGACAGTCCCTAGATGAGCCCGTTGTAATCAGAATATGAATATAGGATCCTCCTTTTTTATATTAGAGGAGATCAGAAAGGTTAGAAAGTGGGGCAAAATTTGAAATTCCCGCCCATGAAAAATGGCGGGAATTTCAAATGTAGCGGAAAATTGAAGGAAGTGGGAAATGTTTAATCTTCGTTAATTAGTAGGTTAGGTAAATCGAAGGTATGCTCCTTTGCTACACACTATCCAAAAGCGATGAAACGCTCCGTTCCGTTTAGTGTAAGTCTTGGCGTGAAGTTTGAAATAAATGCCGATTTTTTCATTCGATTCGTATTGACCCAATTGCTCCCGGCCAGAAGGAGATTGGATAAATCAGGGTCGGGTATGAAACTCTTTTCATTATTTTGGTCGTTCTTTAGTCGACGTGGGCCTAAGAGAACGCGAAATGCCCCGAGCGGCCCGATTATTGAAACTATGTCAGCCCGACACGACAAGACAAAGCCCTATCTTAACCATGCAATATATCGCAATTCGATGTCTTATCGGGCTGGTTTAAATTTAAATAATCGGCCCGCTGGGGGTTGGGCCGCGTAGCGGCCAGGGGGCATAGCCCCCTAGTTCTGTATAGTGAGTGAGGAAAATTTTCAGAGGATTTCAAGAGTGAATTTTTACTGATTCTCCTTAAAGCCAAAAACATGGACGGCAATTGGCAAAGTTGCAAATGATTTTTTACTTCCGCCATCGACATGCTTTTTAACTCTGCATATCCAAAGAATTATTGCATACACATGGAAAATATTTCCGATTTTTTCACCGTTTAGCCAGGTTTGTCAGATTACAGGGGAACTATTTCATCCAAATCGAGCAATGTACGATTAAAAGACTCATTTAATACAAAACTGAGCGATAGTGATGTGGCAAGAATTCGGGACTTGTACCAGTGTGTCGGTAAGTTACTTCAGATCGTATCATCCTCTATAATATAAAATCTTAAGCCGTGCGCTGCATCCAAATCCGTGTTTTGTTTTCAGATTTTTTATTTTCTTTTTGACATGGCTTTTTTTACGTTAAAGTTTGAGTTCATCTTTACCGTAACCTTTGCTTGAACGAAGATCTCAACTTTAACAGATAAATCCAGGAAAAATCATATTTTCAAACTGATGGGCTATTCGGACAAAATATGGCTTTAACATACTTTGAAATTAATAAATCTAATGTTAAAAGTAAAAATTCCTGTATGCTATGTGCAACTGGACTCTATGCACAACATGTGATATGTTAGGCCTGTGGTGAAATTTGATATCACTACCGTAGATTATATCAGATTAAACAGAATAGAACAGATTCGATAGAAGACAGCTCTTGAAAATGATCTTAAGCGCCATTGAAATTCTTTTAATTTTTTAATTTTCAATCTAAGATAAAGTATTTCCGCTAATTTCTTCCCCTTCTTATTCTTTTTAGGAAATCAGCAAAATCCAAGATTCCCCGTTGACGTTGTCTGTTCATTTGATGATAATGACTGCGGATTTAAAGGACTGGGTGCGAAAAAAAGCTCTTGGAGGTGGATTCCATGGGACAGAGGAAGCAACCCAGACAGTCAGTTCTTATTTTCGCATGACACAGTATATCAATTTTGTTTTCCTTTCGCTGAATTTCGCCGATAAAACTGTAACTGTTTTTTTTTTTTCTTTTTTTCTTCTTTTTTTTCTTTTTTTCTAAGAAAAATATTCGTAGGGTCTTGTTGGAGTTTACGGTGAAGTTCCTTCACTCAATCAAATATGATTCACAAACATTTCAAGGAGATAATGTGGTTAATTTTCTTTAAAAAATAATGTATAAACATGATCTAAGATTTTAAGTGTGTGATCTCCCTTTTTATCTACCAGAGTCAGTGTGAGCCAACAATTGTAGTAC